CCTGCAGCGCCTGCCTCGGGCCCCTGCGACCCCGACTTGCTGCTCTTCGCCACGCCGCAGGCGCCCCGGCCCACACCCAGCGCGCCGCGCCCGGCGCTCGGCCGCCCGCCGGTACAGACATCAGGGACACTTGACCGAGTGCGCTGCCTAGACCCCCACGCAGACCCGGGGTGGGGGGCTTATTTGGGACGGGGGAGGGGTGGGCTGAGGCGCCGGGGCTGGGCGGTGCCGAGCCTGAGTGGGCCTCCGGGCCCCGCCCCAGGGTGCCGGGTGACCTCGGGCCAGTCCCTGTTTGCTCAGCTTCCATACCAGAGCCGGTCAAACTCAGAAATAATAATGGCCCACGTGTATTCAGCTGGAGCTACCTGCATGCCAGGACGCTGGCCCACTTCAGGCCAGCTAAAACTTAAAACTATACTGTGAGCACGATGTTGTCACTGTCCATCTGAACTGAGGCCCAGAGAGGGGAAGTGACTTGCCCTTGGTCACACGGCTGCAAATGGTGGGATTAGAGTTTGAACTGAGGCCTTCTGGCTTCAGACCAGAACTTTTTGGCTGGGTAGTGGGTATCGTTTCTTGGAGGAGAAGTGGGGCATCCTGGGGCCAGACCGTTGATGAGCCATTGAGGAGGCTCTCCTTCCTGCCTCGATACTCCACTGCCAGGTGCAGGCCTGGGCCTCTGGGCCTCTGGAGACAGGGCTCCTGGCTGGGAGGCCTTCTCTGCAGGGGCGGGGTGGCTGGGCCAGCTGCTGATCCCCTCCCTCTGCCTGTCCTTCCATCTGCCACCCTCCACCCTCCCAGGCCCTGGTTGCCATGGAACCTCATTAATCAGGCAGGCAGACCCCTGGGGCCCTGTGCAAGTACTGAGTATGCTAGGCCTCTGGGAGGTGGAGAGGAAGCCCCCAGTGTCAGGAAGAAGTCTTGATAAAGTGCTCCCTGAGCAGCAAGAGGCTAAAGATTGATTCAGATTGGGGGACCCAGAAGAGGTGGCTGAATTAAATGGGGAGAAAGGAATAGAGGCCTGGAGCTTGGACCTATGGGCTGCAGGACAGGGTGGAGAGACCAGTTCGACTGGTGCAGCCTGTGGGTGTAGGTGGGGCAGAGGCAAGCAGGCAGGGACTCCTTAAGCGAGACTGGGGTCTCAGTGGGGTCTTGGAACAAGTAGGGTGAGGCAGGCAGGGCCCAGGGCAAGGGTGTGGAAGCTGCCCAACTATTGATGGGGGCCTAGGTAGCAGCTGGTCCCTGAGGCAGCCCCTAACCCTCTTGGCCCCTTGCCTAGTACTGCCTTCCTTCCGGAATCACGGAGATGCTAATAATAATAATAATAGCGGCACCATTGTTTTGAGACTGTTTTGTTTGTCAAGCTCTAAGCCAAGCACTTTACCCAATTAACTGTTAACCCTCTCAACAACCTTCCCCTTTTACAGATAGGGAAGCTGAGGCCTAGAAATGTTAGAACCTTCCCTGTCATTCAGCTAGTGAGTGGTGGGACCAATCCAAATTCCCTGATTGGTTAACAGTGGGATGCCTTGCCTGCTGGAGATGTTAAGAGTGTGAAGGAAACTCAGGGGCCCTTCCCCATCAGTGATGTTGGTGGGGGTGCTCTCCTTTCTTGTCTCCTGTACCCCAGTGGCCACCCCTGTGGGTACCAGCTTGGGGCCTGAACAAGTGTCCTCCATTTAGTTGACTTGACAAGTAAGTACTCAGCAAGCCCTGGGCTTTGGGTCCCGCCCTTAGGGAGCTGAACTCCAGGCTCAAAAGGACTGGGCCAAGGAAGCACGCCCTCTGCTCCACCCCCAGTTGTGTCGGGTAGCCTCAGTGGGCCTGAGCGTTCCACTCATTCAACGGTTGTTGAGTTAGCACCATGAGGTACTAGGCACAGGCAAGAAAGGGGCCTCTGTCCTCACAGTACTTAAGGGTTAGTAGGCATTTTCTGCCGGTGGACAGGGTTGGGAGCTGGCACCATCCTGGAGCTGAAGTCCAGAAAAATGTACCCAGCTTTTGCTCTCTAACACCCCACTCCCCAATTCTTGTACCTGTGGGTATCCACTGGTCATATGATCTGTGGCTTCCATGGATCTGCTCTGGCATTTGGGACATTCATTGAAACAAGCTACAGACTCAGCTTCTACACCAGTGAGTATTCATTGAGCGCCTTCTGCATATAAGGCTCTGCAATTCATCCATTCCTCCTAGCCCTTCTGTCTACCTTTACTCTGTTGTCATGGCTGTTAAAAAACAAAATATACATAGACAAAGTTATGAGACTAAAAAGTTGAAGAGGGCAGGATCCCAGTTCCATCCATTTATCCTTCTGTTTTCTTTTCCTAAGCCTTTTTGTTTTAGGTGGTAATGACAAGTTCTTTTTTCTAAAGCTTTGAAAATTGAAGTTTTTCTTTTATTTCCATCTTCAAACAGTGCACCATCCACACTTTACAGATAAGGCAACAATCCCTCATGGTCCTCCCCTTCATCCATGGGTTTCCCCTGAAATGCATCCTATAATAACAGTAACTAAACCAGAGAAGAAACTTTATGAGCTTTTTTTTAGTCCAAAAATGGGTTATATAAATGCATTGCCCTAAAACAATTTTTTTCTTGTCAGTGTCTTTGAGAGGATTCTGTGTCAGCCTGTGTCCTTGACAATCGAGTGGTATCCCAGGGTCTGGATGAACCATAGTTTCTGTACCCCCTCCCATGGATGAGGATTTGAGTCATGCAGATTTTTTTCACCAGTGTTCTGTGTGTCTTCACCCCTGCCTTTTGGGACCCCTGTGCCAGGATTTCTCGAGAGTGTTGGCAGAAATGGACATCCATCTACTTGAGCCCTTGTTTTAGTGTGTGGCGTTGACCTGTCTCCAGGGTTAGCAGGGGCCTGGCTTCTGGGCTAGGCTCTCAGGAAGCAGGACCTGTGGTGGATATTAACATGGGCTCTGTGCCAGCCTATTAGGGTTCAGCTCGTGCTTCCGCCTCTCACTGTGTGACCTCTGAGGTGGAGGTTATGACAGCATCTGCTGAAAGGTCTAGTTAGAGGGTTTGATGAGTGAATGCAGCTGAAGCAGTTACTTAGCAGTGCTCAGTACACAGGAAACACCCAGCATGTGTTAGCTTTTCTATCTCTGGGACACCCAAGGGAATCCATGGATGTGTGTACGTGAGGGAGTGTCTGGGTCCATCAGCATGTGGGGAAGTTCATTCTGCAAACATTTAACCCCAAACCCAGTGCCTGCCTCCGAGGGGCTCCCTGGCTTCTCGATGAGACAAACACATCTGCAGAAATTTGCGGTGAGAGACAATGTGGGAAAAGGTTGTGTTTGAGGTAGTTCAGAGGGAGGAGAGGTGCAGTCTCTATTGCAGGATCAGACAGATTTAAGTGATGGATAAAGTGCCTGCTCACAGAGGTGGAAGAAGCAGGTATGAGGGTAGAAAGGAGGGAGGCATGGACTAAGGCTTGGAGGCACAGGTTTGTGAAGAGACATGTCTCAGCAGAAGTTCATGTGGAGAAGCAGTGACAGATGATACCAAAGTGGAGGGAGACAGATGGAGGCAGGGAGACCAGTGGGGAGATGGCTGAATGGTCCAGATGGGAGGTAGTAGTGGCTTTGGTGACGGGATTTCTTGGCAAGTAGATACGATGAGGTCAGCGGCAGGGCTAAACGAGGTTCCTGTTGGTGGGGAATAGAGGAAGGCAAATCTGGGTTTGGGTGCATTTGAGATGCCTGTGTGAGACTTTCAGGGCATCCTGGGCAGGAATCTTGGCTCTTCCATTTCCTAGCTCTATGACCTTGGGCGTGTCTGGGTTTCAGTTGCTTTAAAAATCTGCAAAATGGGGCCATTGTGTTGCTAGTCCATAGGATGGAATAAACTATATACAAAGCACATGGTGAGCATCAGCTGCCGCCATGTTCACAGATAGTCAGAAACCAGAGAGAGGTGGTGACTTGTCCAAGGGACCTGTATCTGAATGGTTTAAAGCAAACATTTATTATCACACAGTTTCTGTGGGTCAGGAATTTAGGGGAGGCTAAGCTGGGTGCTTCTGGTTCAGGGTCTGTTCTGAGGCTGCAGCCAAAATGTTGGTCTGGCTATAGTCATCAGAAGGCAGGACTAGGGTTTGAGAATTCGTTTCTAAACTCACTCATGTTGCTGTTGTGAGGAGGCCTCAGTTCCTTGCCACTTGGGCTTGTCCTTGCTACTTGAGGTCCTGCATGACATGGCAGATGGCTCCCCCCAGAGTAAGTGATCCAAAATAGCAAGGAGGAAGCTCCACTGGCTCTGACCCAGTCTCAGAAGTAACAAACACACTGTCACTTTCATCACACTCAGTTCATTAGAAGCAAGTTACCAGATCTGGCCCATATTTAAGAGGAGGAGAATTAGGCTTCATGTTTTGAAAGGAGGCATATCAAAAATATTAGACATTTTGAAAGCGCTATAAGCCCCCAGGTAGGTAGTGGTGGAGCTGGGACTTGACCTAGGGTCTTCTGCCTTCTAGCTGAGTGTTTCACCCTGTGTGGTAGGATTGTGTCCCCTAGGATCTTTTTCTCACACACATAGGTGTCCCAGTAGAAAAACAGATGGGGCGGCCCAGGAGCCTCGCCAGGTCTCTTGTATCCTGTTTCTGAGTATTCTCCCATTGTTTTTGCCATAGGTGAAGAGAAGACTGGACCTGGAAACTGACCATCAATACCTGGCTGAGAGCAGTGGGCCAGCTCGGGGCAGAGGCCGCCACCCAGGAAAAGGTACCCATGTAGCTCAGGCTGCAGCAGGCCCCTTGCTTGGGCCTAGGTCGAGAATATGGACAGATAAACATGCTTGCAACCAAGCTGTGGTCTGTCAGGCCTGGGTCTGAGCCAGGCCTCTGGGGGCCCTGAGGGGCAGCTGGAGTGGATGCCTGACATGGGGTGGGGAGTTCCCCAGCTGGAAGAGGAGTGCTGTGGGAGGCAGGCAGCCTCCCTGCTTGGCCTCGCCAGGAGGAGCTATCTGCCCACCGCATCCTCATCCTACCCTGCATTGCCAGGGAGGCCAGCCCAGCTGGGGTTGGGTGTAGTGCTTATTGGTTCTGCTCTGCCTGCCACCCCCAGGTGTAAAATCCCCAGGGGAGAAGTCACGCTATGAGACATCGCTGAATCTGACCACCAAACGCTTCCTGGAGCTGCTGAGCCGCTCAGCTGATGGCGTTGTTGACCTGAACTGGGCAGCTGAGGTACTGAAGGTGCAGAAACGGCGCATCTACGACATCACCAATGTCCTCGAGGGCATCCAGCTCATCGCCAAGAAGTCCAAGAATCACATCCAGTGGCTGTAGGTACCCGCCAAACAGGAGGGTAGGGAGAGGCGCAGGCCGGGCCAGCCCGAAGGAGCCACATCTCCACCTTATAACTGAAACCAAGGCTTAGGGAGGAGAGTTATCTTTGCTGAGGTGACAGATGCAGGAAAGTACATAAATCTTGCATATCCAGCTCACTGCAACTTTACATATTTCTTCACCTGTATAACCACCATCTGGATCAAGATAAAGAACGTTTCCAACACCCCAGAAAGTTCTCTCGTGACCTTCCCAGTTGTTGCCAAGCCCTTATACCATCAGGTTACAATTGTTCCGGCTTCTGTTGCCATAAATGAGATGGTCTAACATAGCTATTTTAGTGTTGTTAATTTTTTGTAGTATATCTTTTTTGTTTGTTTGTTTTAGTTTTAAGTGTACAATACATTGGTTAGACATTTATATAGTTTACAAAATGATCTCCCTGATTGCTCTTTCTCTCCTCGGGCTCTCTACCTAGCCATTCCATGAATACTAACTGCATTCCCTATGTTGTGCTCCCCATCCCCGTAATCATCTATCAACTACTAATTTGTAGTTCTTTAACCCTTCACCCCATTCTCCCAGCCCCCCAACCTCCCTCCTCTCTGGCTGTCACCAGATTGTCCTCTATATTTGTGAGTCTGTTTTTGATGTTCTTGTTGATTCTGGCTTTATTCTTTCCTTCTCAGCTCTTTCCTTGGTCATCCTACTTCTCCTTGCATATCTTTTTTAGTTTAGTTTTCGATAGATCATTTCATTCTGCATCTTTGCACTTGACAATGTGTCTTAGAAGTGCTTCCGCGTCTGTACGCCTAATGTATTCACTCCCTTTTATACAACTGGGTGGTATTCCATGGCACGTCTGTCATTGTTTACTTACCCAGCTCCCTCTGAGGGACAGGTGGGTATTTATAGACATTCAGGCCTGACTTTAAACCCATGCCAGTCTGAGTTGGAGCTCAGCTTCAGCCCCCAGCTGTTTCCCAGCCGAGGAGCTAGACCCAGAGGGGGCAAGGGCTTACCTGAGTCTCACAGAACAGAGGCAACAGCAGACTGAGCAGAGGGACCAGGAGCTGCTAACCCTCCCTGCACCTCCCCTCAGAGGCAGCCATGCAGCAGTGGGGATTGGTGGGCGGCTTGAAGGACTGACCCAGGATCTCCAGCAACTGCAGGAGGACGAACGACACCTGGACCACCTGATCCACATCTGTACCACGCAACTGCGGCTGCTCTCTGAGGACACCGACAGCCAGCGATATCCTTGGACTTCGTGGAGGGCAGGCCTGGTGGGCTGGGGCCCCCCCAGGTGGGACTAGAGAGGCTGCCCCAGGCCCTGAATTCAGGAGAGGGCTCTGGCTTTGAATTCAAGTCCTAGCTCAGCGTTTACTCACTGTGTGACACTGGACAAGTTATTTAACCTCTCTGAGCCTCAGCTTCATCTGTAAAAAAGGGAAAAAAAACCCAATTCCAGAATTGCACAGATTAAAACAAGGAAAGCTAGTACCAGCAATAATAAACATTTTGTACAATGATTCAGTACACGGTACATGGTTGTAGCTTCAGGGTTAGATATATACGTTTTTGTCTTCCATTCACAAAAATATTTATTTTAAAATAAGCTTTTTTTTTTTTTTACACTGAATACCCAAATTATGTTTATAAATTTTGAAGACAACCACTAATTGACACCAAGATTGTGGGTCAGAATAAATTCTCAGCACCAGGCCTAGAGTTCTGTTAAGTAATTTACATGAAATTATTGCCAGCGGCCATCATTACCTTGGGGTTAGATGGGTAGAGTGGTCTTATTCTGGAAATTGAGGCTCAGGAGCATGAGATAGGCATAAGCCCCAACTATGTGCCAGGCCCTAGTGAGGGGATGGAGAGGACTGGAGAGAGTAGTAAGCGGAGGCTCTTCCTTAGCTGTCTGGGTGGGTGGCCCCGGAGGTCAAAGGTTATATGGTCCTTGACTCTACCAACCCTGGCCTACGTGACCTGCCAGGACCTTCGTAGCATTGCAGACCCTGCAGAGCAGATGGTCATGGTGATCAAGGCCCCTCCTGAGACCCAGCTTCAAGCCGTGGACTCCTCAGAGGTGAGACATGGGATCCCAGGCCTGACCAGGATAGGTTGGGCTGGGATGGTGGTCAGCTGATCCTCAGTTTACCCTGCTTGCTGCCTCCACCCAGACCTTTCAGATCTCCCTTAAGAGCAAACAAGGCCCCATCGATGTTTTCCTGTGCCCTGAGGAGAGTGCGGGCGGGGCCAGCCCTGGGAAGACCCCATCCCAGGGGGCAGCTTCTGGGGAGGAGGACAGGGCAGCTGACTTTGCCACCACAGTGCCACCACCATCATCTCCCCCATCATCCCCTGCCACGGATCCCAGCCAGTCCCTGCTCAGCCTGGAGCAAGGTGGGTGAAGGTGGGTGGATGGGGTGGGACAGGGTCCCTCTCCCAGCTGGGTAGGCAGGCATGACAGCCCCATCTGCCATCCTTGCCGGGGGTGTCCCTGGCCTGTGATGCTCCCCATCTCTCCAGAACCTCTGCTTTCCCGGATGGGTAGCCTGCGGGCCCCTGTGGATGAGGACCGCCTTTCCCCGCTGGTGGCAGCCGACTCACTGCTGGAGCAAGTGCGGGAGGACTTCTCTGGCCTTCTCCCTGAGGAGTTCATCAGCCTATCTCCCCCCCATGGGGCCCTTGACTACCACTTTGGCCTTGAGGAGGGCGAGGGCATCAGAGACCTCTTTGACTGTGACTTTGGGGACCTCACCCCTCTGGATTTCTGACAGGGCTTAGGGGGACCAGGGCCTCCTGAGATGCCCACCCACTCTCTGCAGCCCTGGAGCCCCCTTCCCCTGGCCGTCCTCCCTGCCTGATTAGAAATGTTTAATTTATACCCCTCTCCCCTACCTCCAGAAGCTTCTAGCTCTGGAGTCTGGCTACTGCCAAGAGCTGAGCAAGCCAGGAAGGAAAGGATTGTTTGTGGTGTGTATGTGCATGCACCTAGCACCCAGTGTGTTTACACAGGGTGAGTGGTGTGTGAGTGTGTGTGTGTGCGCGCATGTACCGGGGAATGAAGGTGAACACATCTGAGCGTGCACTGAAAACGCCCCAGTGTGTCCACGTGTGTATGCATGAGTCCATGTGTGTGCATGGTGGGGGCTCTAACTGCACTTTTGGTCTCCTTGCTCCAGGGGCCCCATGAGGCCCAGGGTGGCCACCTGCCCCCAGAATTGCTGCGTGCTGACCAGGCCAGGTGGTGCAGCCTTGGCCTGCTTGTTTGCAGGACAGTGAGAGCACTTCTGTCGTCTTAAAAGGTTTTTCTGATCGAAGCTTTAATGGAGCGTTATTTATTTATCAAGGCCTCTTTGGCAAGCCTGGGGCACCAGCAAAGGGTAGGAGGGACGTAGGGCTGATGTCCCAACTCCTTATACCCCTGAGCAAGGGCAGGTGTCCCTGAGCTGTTCTTTGCCTCACTCCGGAGGAGCTGAGGGCTGAGTGGTTTATTTATTGGGAAAGTGAGGGAGGGAGACAGACTGACTGACTGACAGCCATGGGTGGATGAAGCGGGGGTGGTCCCTCCCCAGGGGGTTACTGCAGGGCTCCGGCAGCCCCCCAGGATGGATGTGAGATGGGAGAGGTGAGTGGGGGACCTTCACTGATGGTGGCTGGGTGGGTGAAGGGCCTTCCCCCAGCCCAGATCACAGGGGTCCCTCCTCTGGCATTTGAAGGTGCCCCCCCCTCCACCCCACTTCTTGCTCTGCCCCACCCTCAAATCTGCACTTTGATTTGCCTTCCTTACAGCTCTGTTCCCTCTTGCTTTGGTTTTAATAAATATTTGGATGGTGTTTGGGCCAGGTTTTGGGACTATGTACTGGGAACAAATCTAGGGGTGGGAGAGGTCAAGATTGCTGGGAAAATGCCTGGTCTCTACTTCCCTTCTCCCCCTTCCTGTTTGGTTTCATTTCATTTGAGCCTCACAGCCCCAAGGAAGGCTTCATCACCATTTTTGTCCTAACTTAGAAACTGATCCAATAAAATAATATGTGAACTCCCCTCCTTTCTCCAGCCCCAGAGAGGCCACTCCGATCAGGTTGCTATGTTCCTTCCAGATGTTTCTGGGCATTTGTAAACATGCAACACATAATTACAACTGACCAAGTCTCTCAGGATCTTTCAGTTTCTGGAGATGTGTGTTCCTTCATGGGGCTCTCAGGGTCTGTTGAAGGAGACTCAAAATCAGGGGGTAAGGGATGTTGAGCTGAAAGCTGTAAGATAAGAATTAACCGAGTAAGAAAATGGGAATGTACCAAACAGAAGGCAGTATAGGCGAAGGCCCCGGGACAGGAGGGAGCAAGGCACAGTACCTGAGAGAAACCAGTACAGCTGGAGTCCTGAGGTGAGGGCCAGAGGGGAGAGTTCAGTCTTGGGCTTTTATTCAGGAAGCAAGGACTCATTGGTGAGTCTGGGGAGGGATGTTTTGTATTTTAAAAGCTTCCTCTGGCTTCTGTATGAAGGATGGGTTGAAGAGGGGGCCGGAATGGCAGAGGGGAGGGTGGACTTGGAAGCAGACCACAGCGATCTGTTTATGTTCAACAAACCCTTAGGTGGGCCATGAGTCAGTGCCCATTTAAATCCCTTTATAGTCGGAATCCCCTTCGTAATCCTATGGCACATCTATTATCCCCATTTTGCAAAAAAGATACAGACCCTCAGGTGTAGTCACCTGCAGGTTTTGCCCACAAGGTATCACTCTGTAGTGCTCTCTGACTGTAGTACTCCCAAGCTGACAGGTCATTTACTCAGCCAGTCCTTGGAAATGACTTGTGTGTGGTTCCTCTGGGAGGCTCTGGTGGTGACACCACGGAGGGACTTGGTGTCGAGTAGCTTCCATTGTGCGGCTCATCCACTTACAGGCTGGAACTTGCTCCCCTTTTCCAGACAGGGAAACAGGTCCCCAAGAGGCTCTCGCAGGGGTCTTGCAGAGTGCGCAAGCTTTGACAAGCTGCCTCCAAAAGCTGGGCTTGGAGGTGCATCGGAGGCCAGTCTGAACAGGGGGTGGAGCCTCGGGGGCGGGGACCTGAGCGTGCGCACGGCGCCAATGGGCGGGCGGCCCCTTCAGTCCCCTCAAGTCCCTGGCGGCGGCGCCCAGAGTCCGGATCTTCATCCCAGCCAGAGTCGAGCGTGTGGCGACACCATGACATGCACGGGGCTGCTCACTGTGTGCTTGATCCGGCCGCCCTCGCCCCGACCCCCTGTGCCGGTCGCTGGGCCCTCTGGACACGCGCTCTTCCAGGATGTGAGTGGGGAGCAGTCGGGGCGTCAGCCCTCCGGCCCTGGGGATTATCAGTCTCGCAGGTCTTATCCCTGTCTCTCCTTGTCCCTCACCCCCGCCCCTCACCCAGTCTGTGTCTCTCTCAACTGTTTTTCCCCATGTCCATCAGTGTCTCTCCCTCTAGGTCTGTTTGGGGCCCAGTCTGTGTCTCATTTTCTCTGACCCTGCTGTCTGTTTCCATGTCCCTTTATCTCACTGCCTTTGTAACCTGTTCTCTGTCTTTCACTCTTTCTTTCTCTTACCTTATCTCTGATTCAGTAGCACTGCTCCTGTTACCCCATCCCCGAACCCAATCCATGTGTGTGCCTGGTGGGTGGGGGCTGTTAACACTAGATCACAGGAACGTTCATGGTACCCCTCTGTGGCAGCCCCAGGCTGGGCTGATCCAAGCAGGGGGCCTGGAAGAATAAGACCCAGTGCTGACCCCAAGGTCCCTTAGACCTGACCCAGGGACTGTGGGGCCCTGAAGGTGGTCAGGGTTGCCCACAGTCATTCTCCGTATAACCCTCCCGTAGGTGCAGGTGGCCCTGCAGCCCCCATGGGCACCAGTGTGGACCACTCTGGCTAGGCCTCAGTCACTGTTCTGAGCCCCTTCCCCACCTTTCACCCCAATGCTTAGTCCTTACCTGGCCCTCTCATGCCCCCGCTCCCAGAGGTCCCTGCCAGTGGGAAAAGCTATACTCCTACCCCCTCCTCACTGCCCCCAGTGACTCAGCGTGTTGACCACAGCCTTCCTGGTTGGAAGGAACCTGACCCTCCTGTTTCCCAGATGGAAAAAACAAGGCCTAAGGTGTTAGGGGTCTATCTGAGATCACACGTGGAGGCAGGGGCACACCGAATGTGGCCCCAGGTGTTCTCATTCCCAGCTTAGTACCCCCACCTCAGTATCTCCATCTGCCCTAACCAGGCCGTACAGGGCTGCTAGGCGACCTCAAGCCACTGGTAGACCTCCGAATCAGACTTCTGGCTAGTAGGATTCATCCCTGAACCTCACCAACCCTGAGACAACAGCTAGCAGAGAGGGGCATTCAGAACCTGGATGATAGGGGCTCTCTGTCCAGGCTTTGGCCTGCTCCTTGCCAGGGCTCCTGGTTTCATTTTTGCTGGGCTGCTTTGGGCAATCTGGGAGTCTCTGGTCCCTGGGAGAGACAGGATCATATCTTGACTTTGTTCCTCTGTTTATCTGCCTCTGTTGCTCTTCACCTCTGCTTCTCCATAAATACAGTCAGTCCTCCCTTGCTTTCTACCACCCTCACTCCTCATTGCATGCACACACACATATTCACATACGCACACACGCATATTCACATACGCATACACACACATTGAGTTGGCCTCATAGGAAGCCCCAGCCCTGGAAGGGCTAACCCCAGCCTGCTCCCCCACGTGCTAGTGAGAAAACTAAGGCACTAACGAATAAGTAGCCACTGCCTGCATGTCAGGGTCTTCACCAAGCACACAGGGAAACTGACCAAAGTGGGCAGAATCTGAGATGGACCATGGCCACATAGCAGAGGGCTCCGAATCAGACTTGAGGGCTCAGGTCTGGGACGGCTGCCCAAGATCCTCCGGCCGCATCTTGGCTCATTCCCCTGCCTTCCACAAGCTAGGACGATGCCAAGGACTGATGCATCAGATAGAACTTGTGATGGACTCTAGGTGTGGGGGTACAGGGAGCTGGCCTGGAACACCCCCCATGAGGCCAGGCCCTGCAGGAGAAGTCAGCAAGCCGTGGGACCTGCTGTGTGCTCTTCCTGTGCCCCCCTTGTTGGAAAAGTTCCTGCAGGGCCGAGCTGGGTAGGGGGTTGGGACCAGGCTGGGCAGGAAGAAAGGCAAGGTTGGGGGCAGGCTGGCCAGCTGGAGCCCTGTTGAGTTGGGTGGGGGCCTCTTGCCTTTCCAGGCCCCACTCAGCTCCCATCCATGACCCTTTGTTTTCTAGGTTTTCCGCAGAGCAGACAAGAATGGTGAGTTTGGCTTCCCTGAGAGGTGAAACAGGTTGCCTGAGGTCACATAGCCTTTAAGTGGTGGGCTTTGTATCCAGGTCTGTGTGATGCTTGGCTCCAGGTTAGCTGTGTTAGGGGCTGGGAAGGATGGGCTAATGGAGATGAGGCCCTGTGGGGGGGTTTACTCTTAGATTTTTAGAGGGCTCAGTAACTCCACATGATTAACCATCTGAACCCAGGGAGGGTTGGGGCAGGATAAAGCTGGCTTCAGGGAATCAGCTCTTCTGTCCTGGGTGCTGCGCAGTCTCAGACCTTGAAAGCTAAAGCAGGAGCCGCTAGGGGACCCCAAGAGCAAGTTGCTGCCCATAGATGACCCAGGGCAGGCCCCTCTACCATGATCAGCCAGTTGAGGGTCTGAGCTGAGGTGGCCAGTCAGCCTTGACCCATTTTCATCTGGGGTCTTCGGACCCTTTTGTGCTTCAGCCTACTTGAGACAGGATCATGTCCCCCACCCCTTGGCCCTTCTCCCTGGGTCTCTTCAAATTGGTAGACACTATGTGTCCCAACACATTGATCAGGACACATGGTCTCATTTGGATCAGAGCATTTTGTCCACTTTCCTTGCCCTATCTGCTTAGAGACCTTACAGGTCAGATACCCAGTATCTTTGGCCATCCCTCTCAGTGCTCTCAGTCTCTGCTGCATGCCCCCTGTGACAGGAAGGGCATTCTCTCTGGAGCCAGCCTGCTGCTTATAGAGGCCCCAACCCTTAAGAAGGTCTCATCTGCCTTCCTATGGCTTCTCTATGAAGGGCCTGGGTTTATAGCACCAAGGTCCCTAACACCCTGGGGCCAGGCTGGTCAGTATGTGAAGCAGAGGCTTGGCCCCCAAGTCCAAGTGATGTCTAGGCCCTGCCATGATTTGGCTGTATCCCAGGCTGTTCTTCATTTATTTCTTTATTTAGCAAACATTTATTGAGTCCTACCCAATACCACTTGTGTACTGCCCTGTCCCTTGTCTGCCTGCAAAATGGGCCATGTTGCCTTAAGTGGGCACCTCTAGGGGCCCTAATCTTTTTTTCCCCAACAGCCAGGCCCCCCACCAAGATCAGAATCCCATTCCATCTGGCTAAGTGGTTGTAAGATGCTGTGAGGCTTTCAGGGGCCCTGGACCTGCAGGCAGGGGTGCAGCCAGAGGTCAGGTATGCCAACTCTGCTCCATGTTCCCCCTAGATGATGGTAAGCTTTCATTTGAGGAATTCCAGAATTACTTTGCTGATGGGGTCCTCAGCCCCAGGGAGCTGCAGGAGCTGTTCAGTGGCATTGATGGGCATTCTACTGAGTGAGTACGAGAGGGGAATGGAAGAGCCATGGTTGGATGTGAGGCCAGGTTGTCTCGACCCCACTGTGTCCCCTGCTGCTTTAGTTTCTTATGAAGAATGAGGGGGTGGTGGTGGTAGGGAGAGGGGCGCCAGGGCTTGGTGCCAACTTTTACTCACCCACTCACCGCCTCCCTGTCTCTAGCTCTGCCAATTGTACTTCTTTCAGCTGAGACCCCAAAATAGCCAGGCCTGAGTCACCACCCATGGTTCAGCCCAC